CTTGTGTCCCCTTTTGAGCCTATAGTATTTTTCTTCTGATTCAACCCTAACCAAGGATCACCCTCCATACTGGGGGGCAAGGTGGGAGAAATCTGCTCACATGAGTGAAGGCATTAATCCAAAGGAGATACCAAAGGTGGACCAAATGGAAAGTGCGAAGATCCAATCAAGAACAAAAAAGCAAAAAAGCAAAAAACAAATAAAAAGAGAATCAAGAACAAAAAAGAAAATAAGCAAAAATCAAAAGTAAAAGGGACAAAAAGAACATGCAAAGATTCCTTAAAGACAAATGGCACATCAAGCTTTAAACTATGAGATTGATCAAGCACAAACATTCCCGAATCACTGAATCACTTCACTCGAAGATCATAGAGCATCAAGAGAGAGAGACATTTTGAGCAAGACATAATTGAAGGCATCAGAATGAATTGATCATTGGTTTAACACCCTGAACACTTGTTTGGGCCTATTTATCCTTTTCTTTCATAACCATGAACCCTGGCCTACATTACGTGCCTTAAAAGTCCCTTCTAATCATACATGGATTTCTAAGAGAATATCTTCAGATTTCATCCCGCCCATCAGGATTAATCTTTGTTTGCAAAAAAAAATAATGTAATTAATGCATGGTATAGAAAAATAACAAAAGGGGGTTCAAGACGTAAATCCTGAATAACGTCTTGAAACCAAAGGAGGGTTCGAGTTGAAAACCTAAAAAGGCGGCTCGAATATAAAATTGTGCAAACTGAGGCGTTCACGCTAATTCCTTGATAAGGTATCGTACAATCCGAGGGTGACAACAAAGGTTGGGAGTCAGAGAACACTTCCAGCAGAGAAGCATGCAAGCTACCCCATCAAACCTTTGAACATCAAATGTCAAACCATTGAGCATCAAATGGACAAAAATGCCAAATCTTTGACCAAACACAATAACCTGAGACTTTTTATCCTTTCTTTTATTGACCATTTCCCAAAGATAGCTTTGATCTTGGCACTTGTCAAATAGCTATAATTCATTGAAGGATTAACATTGTAATTAATTCTTTGATATCCGATGAACTCTAGTTTTATGATTCATCTCAATTGTAAAACCGTGAAAGTGATAATATTTTCGAAATTTTGGACCAAACATCTTTCAAAACCCTTTTTTGATATTTTCATAACTTTGAAAATAAAAGAAAAAGAAAAAAACATCTTCAAACAAGACAGTCTCTCTAGAGTGGATCTTGGTAAATGACATGTGACTCTTAGACACAAAACTCATGCTCAGAATCAATGCTGAAGTAAGAAATGAGGAACATTTGGGGCATCTTTGAAGATTCAACATCAAATATTGGGGCATTTTTGATATTGGGGCATCATTTGGGGATTCAACATCCTAATGCAAATTATCAGACCTTTTTTATGAGATAAAATATAACCGATTCATGTTACATGCATATTATGCATACATTTTAGAACATCATATTTATCATTTTTTTTCACATACATAATTTTTGCAGCTTTTACAGTCAAGTTTCGACTTCAAGACGAATGATACTCGATTCAAAAGCACCTTTAAAGATTGATGTTAGTTGCTTAACTCAGCAGCAAGAAGCTACACTTCAACCAATTTGACATATTGAAAGATCGACAGATCTTAAAATCAACTTCAGGTGAGTTCGAGAGCTAATTCAGAACCAATCCAGTTCACATTTTCAAGTTGGATGTCAACTTCACGACGAAGGATATCCAATTCCTGGCTTAATTTCACGGCGAAGGGGCCACCCACGGTTTCAACTTCACAACGAAGGGAATCATGCTCACCATTGTCTCTCTTGAGACAGTTTCCCTTGAAACGAATCCTATCTCTTTCAAGACAACTTCTCTTGAAGCATCATCTGAATCGTTACACTCAGCTCAGGCACATACTTGGGATGGTCGAGAAGCATTTCTCAAATCAAAAATAGAATGTACACATCATATTTGAACATTTGAAGAATTTGAGATCAGGGATCAGAACTTGAAGATTCCAGAACTAAGATTTCAGAAAAGCAACCGGAGATTGAGATTTCTCTCCTGTGCCCAAAAATATCATATGTTGCATATGCATTTAAGGCATACCTAAGAGCATTGCATCCATCTCATCACATATATGCATAACTTTTTCAGGTTTTAGCTAGAGTCAATTTCAACTTCGCAGCGAAGGAAATTGGACTCGAAGCAACACAATTTGCTCGAGAGTAGATTTCAACTTCACGACGAATGATATCTAGCTCGAAGCCAAACTTTACAATAAAGGGGTCTTCACGGTTTCAACTTCACAGCGAAGGGAATTGTGTCTACCCGCAACATACAATACTTGGATTTCAACTTCACGACGAAGGATATTCAAGTCAAGGCTTAACTTCACGACGAAGGGGCCATCCGCGATTTCAACTCCACGACGGAGGATATCGTGCCACTCCAGACAACGCAAGTTCAACTTCACGACGAAGGGACCGCTGGTTGTCAATAAATAACTTCCTAATTGCAGAGCCAATTTCAACTTCACAGCGAAGGATATTGGACTCAAGACAACGCAAGTTCAACTTCACGACGAAGGGACCGCTGGTTGTCAATAAACAACTTCCCAATTTCAGAGCCAATTTCAACTTCACAGCAAAGGATATTGGACTCCATACAACGCATGTTCAACTTCACGACGAAGGGACCGCTGGTTGTCAACAAACAACTTCTCAATTTCAGAGTCAATTTCAACTTCACAATGAAGGATATTGGACTCCAGACAACACAAGTTCAACTTCACGAAGAAGGGACCGCTGGTTGTCAACAAACAACTTCTCAATTTCAGAGCCAATTTCAACTTCACAACGAATGATATTGGACTGTAGACAACGTAAGTTCAACTTCACGACGAAGGGACCGCTGGTTGTCAATAAACAATTTCCCAATTTCAGAGTCAATTTCAACTTCATAGCGAAGGATATTGGACTCAAGACAACGCAAGTTCAACTTCACGACGAAGGGACCGCTGGTTGTCAATAAACAACTTTCAACTTCACGACGGAGGATATTGGACTCGGAACAATGCTACTTACTTGGATTTCAACTTCACGACGAAGGATATCCAACTCGAGAAGGCTATCTGCCAAAGACCCCCGAGTTCGATTACACTCAGCTCCGAGGGCATATCATTTGCAATATAACTTAAGTCGAGAGGGTTATCTGCCAACCAAAAACCTTCGAGTTCGACTACGCTCAGCTTCGAGGGCACGTCATTTGTAGCATAACTTAAGGCAAGAAGGGCTATTTTCCAATCAAAGACCTTCGAGTTCGATTACATTCAACTCAGGGGCATATTGAATTTACAGCTTAGCTCAAGGCAAGAAGAGCTATTTGTCAATAACAACTGTCGAGTTTGATTCCATTCCGATCGGATCTCCTCATTACGTAGGAGTTGTGTCAACCTTAGATGGTCTGTCGTCCTCAACATGAAGGAACAATGTCATCTTCAATCCTCTATTTTCAGACAAAGAATTGGAGCTCCACACAAAAACATTAGCCAGACAAAATTAGGCCATTATTTTGTCTTTGCTTCGTCGTTATTTACACAACAGACGAGCAAAGAGGGGCAGCTGTAATACCCTAATTTTGTCCGAGAATTAAAGAGAGAAAAAGTGCAAGGACCAAACTTATGATTATACCTATTATAATTTGGGACTTTAAAATCAATCCAAAAGCAACCCACGTTCTGTCAGTTAAAAACAAACAAACAATCACCCATGTATCTCCACCATTCCACACCACTACCCACCACCTCGCACATCTCTCACATGTTTGCTCCTTTTTCTCTAAAAAATGAACGTGAGAATCTGGATGCTTTTAGTATTTAAAACGTATTCTTCTCATCATTTTGGGGGGGGATTATCATTTCAAACAATGGTCCCCTACTGAGGGAATCTGAGATTGAACACTACACAATGCTTTATAAAGTGGGGGTCCACCATTACAATGGAATCATTCCTCTTTCAAAGTCTTTGTCTTCAAAGACTCATCAAATGATTAACTGCAAATGGAGATTGTTTCCGCCACTGTTTCAAAAGGGCAAGCTTGGAATCTTCAGTTTCTTTCGAATCAACCCGTTGAAGAAGATGAAGCTTGGGTCATTGGAGGATCAAAACGAAGACCATAATACGACGTTTTTGTCGTCGTTACTGGCCTTGCCTGAGCTGACCCTCGAATGCATTTTAGACCGCCTTTCACCTGCCGGTCTATGCGCCATGGCTGGCGTTTGCTCCTCGTTCAAGGATCGTTGTACGAGCGACCATTTTTTGGGAGAGACACATGAAGCGAAAGTGGAGTAAAATGATCGAAGATGTAGCCTATAGGGAATGGAAATGGCATATTGTTTCGAAAATGAGGCCCTCTTGGATCGAAGTAGCCAACGGAGCTTCATCGTTCCATTTCTAAAACCTGCCCGTTTGCTCTCTAGGTGAAGCTTTAAACCCAGAACTGAAAATGGTGAGAACCAGTTAAGAAAGAAGGGGAAAATGTGAGAAAAGAACCTTTGCATTAGGGCCCACGTTTGTTTGATAAGTGTGGCAAGTGAATAGAAAAGCCATATATTTTGGCTTATTGCGTGAGGTTAATGCTTTTGAACCTTGGGTAATTTCAATATATGATCCTTCATTTATTATGGGGGAATTTTTTTTTCCGATCAAAGGTAAGTATTTGAATCAAATTCTTTTAAATTTTAATTTAAATTCTTAATTTTCGCATTTAAAGACAACCGAAAAATTAATTGGTACCGAAAGGGCAGTTTAAGGGTGCTAATCCTTCCTTGACTGTAACCGACTCCCGAACCCGACACATTTCTGATAAAATGCAGATCAGGTAAAAAATTGAGGTATCCGATCAACCCGTTTTATTCTTAAAATAAATGATCGGTGGCGACTCTAACCCATTCATTTCAAGTCGAAGCCCAATTCCGGGGCCCAACCGAAAGACGGTTACGACACCATGAACATAACATTCTTTAAGAAGGTATAAGAATACTACTGGAGCAACATAGGTTAGAACCGCAAAAGCATGCAGGCAAATTGTTTTCGTTTCACAAGCTTCATCTTGCAGCTTTATAGCTTTTTCCCCAAATCCCATTTCAAAAAGGCACAGCCAATGCTACTGAAGTGAGATCCAAAAAAAAAAATTAAAATGAAAAAAGAAAAACGAAGCATTAGCTTGAACACTGCATATAATCACATATGTCATGTACCATTCTGTAATTTTATCTTTTTCAAATGCTAAATTCATATGAAAAAATATTTTTCAAGCTTTTTTCAAATACAAAATCCAGTTCGAAATCCAGGAAAACAGAGAACAACTCAAGCAAGCGTTTAATGCCATGCTTATTCCTTTTCAACTTTTTCTCTTTCTAATTTTCCATCCATTTTCTCAACATGCAAAGAGAAAAGTATAGAACTATATATTCTACAAAAAAAAATTGAACAAATATTGGTTTGGTTTAATCATACCAAAAAACAAAGCAAATGATAATTAATTTGAGAACTTCAAAAGTCAAACCATTAAGAGCTTGAACCAAATTATTCAAAGTCATTAGCTTTGGAAGATTCCTAAGAGAAACTATACAGAAAAAATCTCAAATGATTCAGATTGGACTAATAATTGCATCAATAAGATCAAGAAATAATTTCTTCTGTTCTCTTTCGTTTCCCGCGAGCCAAACGTTCTCTATATTAAAAAACAATCTTTCAATATAATCCAACAGACAAGAGAGGGAGAATATATAACGAGAAACGCACCAACTAGTTTCTTTTGGATTTTCTGAAATCTTTGTATATTTTGCTCTCGCTTCTCTGAGAAAACTATATACCTACTGTGCTATACCTTTTCTATTTCTTCACCGAAACTTTTAGGGTAAATTATATGTGTAGTACATAAATTATCAGTTTTATATCCTTTTAATATCTAAATTTTTAATTTTTCAAACACATGTCTATCGTTTAGTTTTTTTTTCTCATTTTAGTATCTCATTGTTAAAAACTTAACGGTTGATTTACACGTAGCATATTTTCTATGGGTAAATTGCATAATTTATCACTCAACTATCTTCTCACTCCTATTTTAGTTACTAAAGTTTATATTTCTTTTAATTTAATTACTTAATTTTCAAATTACTCCCAATTTATTCACTCTAACTTTAAAATTTATTTTTTTAATTATATATTAATGAAATAATAATAAGTTTCATGTCACAAAATTATTAATAAAATAAATTAGAGTGATTAAAATATGAGCAATTTGAAAGTTGAATAGTTAAACTAATTTTTTTTAAATTTTAGTACCATAATAGGAGTAAGGAGATAGTTGGGGATGAATGATGTAATTTACCCATAAAACTAAATATTAGATATGATTTTAAAAAAATTAAAAGTTTAGTACTAAAACGTACCAAAATTGATAGTTTAAGTACTAAAAGTGTATTTTACCCAAAATCTTTATATTTTAAAAGGATAAATTATATCTATGGCCACTTAATCGTTATTCTTTTTCATTTTATTTATCAAGTCATCTAATTATTTAATTGTTATCAATAAGTTATATAATGTCAATATTTATTCAAGTGAATTTAGTAGTTGAAGAAAATGTTATTTTATTTTAAAGTATTGGGTTTGAGTAATTACGACTATAAATATATATATTCTCAATAATTAAAGAAATTATGAATAAATATACTATCTTTTTTAATCACCCTAAACTATAAAAAAATTAATTTATAAGTTTTTGAAAGAATAAATTGATTGAAGTGATGGCCCAATAAAGAAGGTATGTGCTTTGAGGCATAAGGGATAATTCAAATGTCAAAACAGCCCAAAATAACAAAAGAAAACTTCTACTTCATCAAAAGAGCCCAAAATAACGAGTTTTTGAAAGAGACCTTTAATAATATTTATTTAGGAATAATTCCAATAACACTCATCTTCATATTATTTTTTCAGTTAGATCTTTATTTTATCTAATAAAATTGATATTATTTTGGACCGGGTTTGGGCTTCGAGTCATATAAAGTCATCCTAAATTCGGGTCAAATTGAGTTTCAGGTGGATGATCTACATTTTTCGAGTCAGGTCAAGTTGGCTGAAAAATTAACCCGATTCGACTCATGTCAATCTCTATATCCAAATTAGACGATCGTTAAATTTTAAAAAAAAAGTGACATGTTTGAAACATATGAATAGTCGAGTGATTAATAGTCATGAGACTTAACAAAATAATGTCTTAATAATTGATGATCATTTTATAACTTTTAATAATCAGTTACTAAAAAAACAGTATCATATAATTGAGAGACCATTTGTATATTTTACGCTTTTGCATTTTGGATTTTTCGGTGGCAACCACGTAATTTGAAACGAACAGAGCGGCATTTAAAAACCCCGCCAATAAAATATCTGGCTCGGAGAACTATTAGTCACTAATAAGGCAGGAATCTCCCGAAGTTTCATTCTTCATATCTCCCCACAGTTCCTCGAGATATTTTCTCTCCTCGAACATCCCCTTCCCTTTGGAAAAATAAAAATCAACGGTGACAACAACAAAAAACTAGTGCTTCTGCTTTTTTCCTGTTAAGCACATTTGATTTTTTTGTTTTACTCCTTTATCTTTTAAGATCTTAGAAAGCATCATGAGTATTTTGTAGTTTTGTTTGCTTCAAGAGAGAGAGAGAGAGAGAGAGAGAGAGAGTAGAGATAGAGGATTTTGGACGGAAGAGATGGATCGGGAGGGAGGATCCCACGGCGGATCTTGTTATTACTCCGTTCTTGGGATTCGTAAGAACGCCTCATTCTCTGATATACGCACTGCTTATCGTAAACTCGCTCTGGTAATTATAACTTCTCGCTTTCATTTGATTTTCTTTTTTGCTTTTTCAATCTTTCTAGTTTAAGATAAGATGTTCATTTTGCAAAATCAAAACTAACATGCTTAATGCTCAAATTTCTGAAGAAATGGCATCCGGACAGATACGCCGGAAATCCGGTAGTCGCCGGCGAAGCCAAAAGCCGGTTTCAGCAGATCCAAGAAGCTTATTCGGGTAACATTATTAAATCCATTTTACCTTATTGCTGTTGAATCCTGGTGGTGTAATTATTTATTCCATAGCTTTCTATAATTTTTTCTCAGTTCTCTCCGACGAATCTAAGAGATCAATGTATGATGCCGGTCTTTACGATCCCTTGGAAGAAGAAGATGAAGTGCGTAAAAATATCTCATTTGTCTCCTTTTATTCTTTTAGAAGCTTTTTTATCAATGCAAATAAAACGGTGTCGGATTTTTCATCGTGCTCAGTGAAAAATGTTATTGCATCGGCAATATCATTTCTTCGAATCTTTATTTATTAATTAAATTTCTTATGGAAAACGTTTGTGTTATTTCCAATTTTAGCCCCTAAATTTTGTAAGATTTGCGAGCAGGACTTCTGTGATTTTATGCAAGAGATGATCTCGATGATGAACAATGTGAAAGATGAGGTTAACCCTTTAAATTCCAATTATCAAAAGGCTAAATACGTAATTATAGTTTAAACGAGAGTGCATTGATATTATATTATGGATTTTTTTGTACTCTTTTTACCTTAGGAGGACAGTTTTGAGGATTTGCAAAGGATGTTCGCCGATATAGTCGGCGGAGATGGCATGAACTTTGACGTTAACAACGATCCGATGGAGACGAAGAGGGCACGTGTCACTTCATCTAAAGGCAATGCAGCGAAACGGAGCAGTTCCCGCCGTTGACTTGTCCTACAACCCCCACTTGTCTTGATAATTTAAATTACATCGCTATTTTCTTTCATTACGAATTGGGGGATTGTTTAGTTTTAGTGGCAAAGTTAAAGGACCTTTTTGTATCTTGCAAAAATGTAACCACTTATTTTATGGATTGTAATAAAATCTCTCATTTTTAATTTTCAAAATTTGATGCTTAATGTCAACAAAAAAGTCCCTCTTGTAATATTTAAGCTCAATTATTCAGCTTTATATTCGTTTTCTTTTTTATAATTGGTTTTTATATTTTAATTAAATTTTGATATTCAATTATTAATTAACTAGTTTAAATCAAATTTTATAAAGACTTAATGCGTCTCTATGAAATTAATTTGTTTAATTCATAATTGTTAATATTCGAACCTCAAATGTTATTTAAAAAAAATTAATGCATTATTTTTACTAAATCAATTTATTGTCGATATAATTAATTTTTATTAGTTGTACATAATTGTTGAATATTGAAGTGAGGATGATTTTTAATTTTTATATCTAACTTAATTTTAAGATTTAATATAATTTAGTATTTAACTTTTTTGATGAATTTTTTTTATTTATAAATATTTGAATTTAATTTTAAAATTTAATTAATTTTTTATTTAATTATGCAGCTAAACCTAACTCGTGATAAATTATTTAGTTGGATCATAAAATAAATTTATATCCTAATTTAAATTAAAATGTCAAATCCTAATATCCAGTTGAATAAAAAAAGTTCAGACATCAACTTTAAAATTTAAGTTCGAATTCATTTACTTGACTTGACAAACTAGAATTTAAGTATCTGATCTTAAAATCAAAACATATATTTACCCTTCAATAATGAATGTAATTGAATGAACGGGGGCCTCACATTCATAGGAGGAGGAGAATTGGTCGGTTGACAGAAGGTTCTAGGTTCTTAGGATGTTAAAAGATAAAAGGAGATATTTTTGGTGGCGTGTTTTCGTCTCTTTTTGCTTTATCTATTAACTTCTTGTTACGTACGCATGTGGGTGGATTACAAAAGTTCCTTTTTCAATATGATGACAGAGATGTTTGAATTTTTCATATTTATGATTAGGCTAAAACAAACATCAATCAAACAATTTTAATAGTAAAAAAATTAATGTTATTTTTTGAAATTTTAAATTCGAGTAACATAATTTAAGTATTTAATATTAAATGATAAAAATTTTATCTATAAATAAATATTATCTCATACTTACCTTAAATTAACAAAAAAATATTTGACTCGAATGAAATCAAACTTAAAAATTAATAATAATAATAAAGTCTAATTAGTGCAATTATTCTTTGATATTGAAATATAATTAAAGGGATAAGTTTATACTGAATATCGTATACCAATATGCACCATAAATGTAACATACCCTTATGAATCTTTAAAAATTATTTTTAGTAAAGAAAGATTAAAAATTTTAAGGATCCATCGCTCGATTAATCTCTTACAAAAATGTAATTATAATTCTAATAAAAATTAACTTAAATCGTGTATTTTTTTTATTAAATATATTAAATTTATAACTTTAATTTTTTTTTACTAAAAGTGTCGGTTGCTTTATTAAGAAAAAAAAACGTAATGCCCAAGCAATCTAGTTTTACTCCACAAGTCGAATAAAAAGAATCAACAAAAACATGAAGGAAACAGGAAGTCAAACAAGAAACAAAAACAGAGCCACCATCATGGCAAGCCAACCAACACCCTCACTTGCAGAAGATGACACATCGAACGCCTAGCAATAGAGTAGAAAACCAAGAAAATTAGAGCTTTCACAAACACATCAACCCCAGTCAAATTAGCGAGGATCGAGCCAACGCCTATCTTCCTCAATCTGAATCATCACTCGCCGAGGAGCTTCCTCGACCTAAAATCGGCCTTCCTCAATCGTCATTACAGCAGATGCAAGTAAATGGACACCTTGATTTCCATGACGCGCAATGTAGAAAAATGAGCAAGCATGCAAAGAAGTTGACAGTCGATGACCCTTCCATATATAAGTCCCAATCTCTGATAAATTCATCCCGTGGAAGTTAACAAAAGGATCACTGATATTGAATTCCCCTCAATAATAGCACGAGAAAACCCCATATTAACAATTAGTTGAAGGACATAAACAGTCACCAACGCTTCAGCTGTGAAAGCCGAGGTAACTCTATGTAGACGTCTTTGGCAAGCATGACTTTAATTTTATTTTAAATTGAAATATATAAATTTCGCTTATCTTCTATAGTCCTATTGTTGGCCGCCTATTATTTGTTGAAAATTTATTTTTTATTAATATAATTTTATATTTATTTAAGTTGTATTTTATGAATTTATTCTTCATTCACATTATATTATTGAATTAATGTTAAAAACATTATATCAGCCAGCCTATATTTCGGTATCAATAAATATCATTCAAATTTAATTTTATTATATTTTAATTAGTAGATTAACTTCTAACTGAAATAATTACTATTTAAAAAAAATCAATTTAGAATATATAAATAATAAAATAATAAATTTATAAATTTTAACAATAGAAAAACTAAATAAAATAACACTCAAGAGATAATTTATATAATTAAGTGTACTATATATAGTAAAGAAATTGTTATTATTTATTGATAATTTATATTTGAGTATAATAGATATTAGGAATGATAATGGGTCGGATTAGGGTCTGATTTTTGATCAATCCGACTCGACCTGAAAATTTTATATTCTACATCCAACCCGACCCAACCGGATTTTTAGAGTAAAAATTCGATTCAATCCGATATAAATTAAGTATTTAATTAAGAAAATAATTAAAATTTTAAAAAATTACAGTATTATTCTCATGTCGGGTCAAGTCGGAGTTTTCACCCTCCACCCAAATCTGACCCGACTCAATTTCATCCTTTAAAAAATCCAATCCAACCTGACCTGAATATTTTTTAACAAAAATCTGATTCGATCGAGTTACAACCTGTTAGATACGGATGAAATTGTTTCTACTCATATTTACCCTAAATTAATTTTAAAAAAATGTACGGTGAAAAGTCGACATCAAAAGACGGCAATTTAAAAATTCTCCACTAAAATTTGCAAAAGTTGTTTTTCATTTAGCTTACCTTAGTGGGCCCAACGATAAGAGTATGAAGAAGATGATAAAGAAATAATAATGGATATTATTTTATTAAGTAATTTGATCATTAAAATTATAAAATAATCTTCGATTATGGAGTGTTATTTTATTTAATTATTCAATTATTAAAAGTTATAAAATGATTATACAATTATTTATTATGTTTTAAACTTATCTTTTTTCGTTAAAATTTATGATATTCTGAGCTTAATGTTAACATGTTGATTGTGATATATAATAAAATATGATTTCATAATATCAAACGACTATAATCTCAACCATTATGTTAACGTCCAACTTAGACAATCACTAATTTTTTAACGAAAAATGATGAGTTTGTAACATAATAAATAGTCAAGTGATCATTTTGTAACTTTTAATAATCGAAAGACTTAACAAAGTAACATTTTATAATTAAAAGATCATTTTATAACTTTTCATCGTTGAAGAACTTAATAAAACATTATTCTATAATTAAGTGACCATTCGTATACTTTACCCTAAAATTTTGGGTAAATTATACCAATAACCACCTAACATGTTAATTGATTATATGACATATTTCACTTTTGACATTTGTCTAAAGTCTATATTTGATAGATGATTTTAAATTATTTTATATATTGAGGTTTAGATCACTAAAAAAACTGAAAATTAAAAAGATTTGATGCAAATTCAAATTACATGTTTAAAAGAACTAATAACATCATATATATATATATATATATATATATATATATATATATATATGTTATTGGTATATATTTAAAGTAAATGTATTTAAGATTTATATATTTATAAATTTAATTATTTTTTATATTTTCATAATTATTTTTAAATGCTTATAAATTTAAATAAAATAAGAAATAATTTTAAAAATATTTTGAAGACAAAAGTTTAAGATTTGAATTATAAATTTATCTTTTGATTTAAGTTGCGCTCGTAAGTTTGGGTTCAAAATTTCAATATAGTTTTTTTTAAATAAAATAATTTAATTTTAAAAATATAAAAATTTTAAACTCATATTTATTTTTAAACCTTGCATTATATATATATATATATATATATATATATATATATATATATATATATATATATATATATATATATATATATATATATGTGTGTGTGTGTGTGTGTGCGCGCGCGCGCGCACCTGTGTGTGTGAAATATAATTTATTTATTAGATTTTTTTGATGATTTAAATGTTTATATTGACTTAGATTCAAGATATGATTTAGTTATTTTATTTTTTCCTACTAATAATAGATATTTAACTATATATAAATTAATAATGTAATTGTTTTTTAAAAGTTTTATTTGTCCCGATTATTAAGATCACCCATTTTAAGTTAAAATTCCCAAGTGTAAATTCTTTTAATGTCTTTTATTTTCTTCTTCCCGTCCTAATATAAAAGATAATATATAAAACCTTTTGCAATCGAATTACTTAAGATGGGGTTTACTCCGTTGGTTTAGTTGCAATTTAATTTGTCCATTCCCCTTGGTTCAAATTCTTTTGTTGGCAATTTTAAACTTTGCTTTTCATTTAATCATGTGGTCCTGATTGGTGAATAAAATATTTAATTTAGGTATAATTATATTATTATTTTTTTGGTTCGAGTTAAATATTTTCACCGTAAAATCGAACCTGATCCAAACAAATCCTTTAAAAAATTTGACCCGACATGAATCTATTTTTTTAAATCTGACCTAATATGGTTAGGTCGGATCAGAACTCGTTGAATTTGAGTCTCATGCCCAACCCTAGTTGAATGTTAGCCTATCGATTGAGATATGATAAAATCATATTTTAAAATTGTCTATTTCACCCTCGTTGCTTTCAAGCTTAGTGTTTCGATAACAAAATATGAATGAAGAGTATGCACAAAAAACAACTCGAATATGAATATTAAAACAATTATTTTATAACTTTTAATAGTTAATGATCTTAATAAAATAATATCCTATAATTGAGAGATAATTTTATTACTTTTAATAATAATAAAAACTCAATAAAATAACGTTTTATA